TTCACCACCCTTTTATCTTCTCCCCTGCCATAGGGCGGGATTAACCTATTGGTAGAACTCACCTGAGTAGCCGGATTGACATAGGGTGTGTAGATATTTCCTCCGCTACCGTACATGGTATTCGTATTGGTTAGATATGGTGAATATATTCCGTCCGTCCCGGGTATAACCAAAGCATCTCCCCAGAAGGGCTGGTTATTGTAGTTACTACTTCCATAACAACAGGTACTAGCACATGGATTGTATTGACTGCTACCGTAACCACTCGCTATGTATTGCCTGAAATCTGACACTGCCAATGATAATGACAACTGACAATTGACATAGAAACCATACCCATTGACATATTGACCATTGTATTGATTACAGTTAATACTAGAGCACAAATTCTGGCAATTTGACAATGGAGCGTAATATGTGCTTGGTAGAATAATTGCACTGATACCACCGCAACTCGTTCCGCAACCGCTGTATGCTCCACAACCTGGAAATTTTCTTTTATACAAAAAAATCAATAAATCAATATGGTATCAAAGTTACCTATAGAAGAGTATCCTGAGCCACCGCATTCGTAATAGTTACTGTATTGCCTTTTTGCTCGAGATATTACGGTAGCACTAGTTATGGAAGTCAATACCGTAAGCGTTACCGTACAGCTCAGCATCTGGAATATCTTTTGACAGCTGTTGAGACTTTGCCAGTAGGGAGGGTGTCTGTCGCTACAAAAATATATATAAAGAGACAAATTTGTTAGCACTGGAGAGAGGCAAAGTCCCTGCTAAAAAACAGGTAAAAAATAAATTTCGTCGAAAACCTCTGAGATGCAATTGAAAATAATCTTCAAGTGTGAGTGCTCAATTCTGCATAAATGCCTGTATTATTCTTATCTACAACTTTGTGAGTGAATGATAAATATTTTTCAAACGAAAAGTTCTTCAAATTTGGCTTTAAAAAACTAAAGTTCGTTTGACATCACGTTCGTGTTTTGAATTTGGTGCAGCGTAATGAAGTTATGATTAAAAAAAATAAAAAAGGTATTTGATTTGGTAAAATTGCGCCTTTTGAGCCTTCAAGAATGGTTCAAAGAACTTCTCCCAGAATCTATGAATAGAGCCACTTCAAAGAAAGAAATCAGGACGTAAATTTTGCATATAAAAATACTCTAATGAAAGGAAAGCGCAAAAGATGATTCATTATCCAAATTTTGTACAACTGTGAGAATTTCGTTTTTTTAATAGATATCAAAATGGCATACATATTTTTTTTGTAATTCGCCAGTCGGGAGAACTTGTATCCAAATAAAGTAAGGATTTTGGAAGAGGGGAAGGGTTGGGACGCTAAGGGCTGAAAGTATGCGAATTGTTCTAATGATGTTAGTTTGACAATAACACTTTCAGGCTCATGTTTTTTTGAAACCTTGTAAATTTACTGTTCATAAAAGGGTATGGGGTATATAACCCGTATAACTTTACTACGTTACTTACAATGCATCTATCATCTATTTAGAAAATTTTAGCTCTAAGATTTGAGGTTAAAAGCATAAAGAATCGCGAGTGATTAAAACCAGCTCATGCGCACACTATATATCATGCGTTGTTTTCTCATAGCTTGATGTCCGCCTTCACAAACATCTTCCAGTTGAATATGTACCCTGAATCAGCTGCGCACCTCTCCCCTAGTGGGAATATCGCGGCTAACAGGAAACTTAGACAAACACTTCGTCTGACCACTAGACGGAGATGCGTCATTGCTCCAAGTGGACCTGATCAGCGTCGAATTTCGCAGACTGTGATAGTGGTCCAACGCAGGGCTCGGCACAGGTGGCTTACGCGGCAAGCTGGATA